GTGATCGAGACTAGCAAGATAACTTTAACCAAAACAAGGTCGAGTAACGGGAGTACCGGAACAAAGTGTTTGAAATCGAGACTTTGTTGAACATCGTCTCAGATTGGGGGTAACTAAGTCTAGTCCAGTTCAATCCCCAGAAGACACAAGATTGCTCGATTACCACTAAAAAGTACCCTTTTGTCGTACCACCTCATTTTCAGGGCACTCTCGTTATTGCCTCAGCCAGTATCGGAATCCTCGGCGTGAACATATCGAATGACATGCAGTTTCGTGGTCACTTGGAAGAGAAGGGCAAATTGGCCTCTAAAAAGCTTGGCGTGCTCAGCAGAGCGGGACAGTATTTTATGCCGGTACACCGCCTGCAAATTTACAAAGCGCAGGTTCGGCTTCAAATGGAATACCATTTCCATCTCTGGGCCGGGGCTCTCCAGTGCCAGCTACTTCCATTTGATCGTATCCAGCGCGGTTATCGTCGGCGACAGACTCTCTGATCAGCTTGACACACTGGCACTGCGAAGATATGTTGCATCTCTTTGCGTATTATATCACATCTACCACGGGTAGTGCTCTGAGGCATTGTTTGGACTGATTTCAGCCGCCCAATGTCGCCATCGCACATCGCGACAAAACTCGTGATACCTCCATACTATCAAAATGATTGGCGGTCCCCCTCTGTACGATTACTAGAAATTTTCTTCCTTGCACAACTTCCTTGTGGTATCGACTTAGGGACCGTGCGGTGCAACCGTACACGTTGTCCGATCAGCATTTTTGCTTTACATACTTATTTTTATTGTTCATCGAATCAGTTCACATAGCACCCCCACACAGCGCCGGACGTGTTCTAATTATCAGCTATTAGCAGTTTTTAAATATATCTTCTATTTTACCTCAAGTAGCGTATAAGATATGGGTCCAAAGTCAGATATCAATTCTGCCCGTGTAGTGGCGGTGTAGGAATATCTCACCGTGAATGTCAGCAGCGTCTTCTTAATAACAAATAAAAATAAAAAAACTGTGGTTGTCAACCCGCTTGCCAAGCGTGGCAACTATCTCAAATATCCCCCCTATGAGGCAATCTATGGTGAAAGCCTTTGTTGAGCAGTGGACTTGTGATAGTCTGTTACGGTAACGGTAACACCACATCCATAATCTGATTTATTCACTGCTGTTTTGGTCTAGTAATTATTGCAACTGAACCGACCAACAGGACGATCATTGTATCATTGTATGTCAGGAGTTAAGAGAAAAAGCTGTTTTAGCAGTTAATAGACACGCTTATATATACCCTGGTGGCATTGAATCTCACAAGTATTCTATCCTGAGACTAGTTGTACTAGTACTACTAGGTGGTAGGACTGCTTTTCAACCTGGGAGTTAATGTGAGTGTGCCCTCCTACTTATTTATGTCACCAAACAGCTGTGCGAGCACCGCCGTGTACCGTTTCGAAAGTCATAAAGAGCCAGTATGTTTATAAGCTAGTCATGCTCTTAGTTTCAGAGATGACAACGCATTTGTATAATTATTTCGTATATTTACGCGAATATTACATATTAAATGTCTTTACGGATTTTCGCGTTTAATTAAAAAAAAAATATTTCGACAGTACCCATAGTCACGGGGAGGACTGAGATGTTTGACGTCCACAGGTTATAGTTATCGAAGGCTACTTTAAAATTTTAAATATATGTAAATTTTTGATCTGATTCAGTCAGAACGAGCTTACAGTATCTTAAAATCTTGCAGTAGTATGCTTCGGCTTGGCACCCAGCCATTTTCTCTATTGTGAATCATCCTTGGTTGGAGTTGGTGTACTTTATCAAACAATTGTGGTCCAACAAATCAGGTGTAATGTTAGTGATGACCTTGAACGAAAGTTTTTTAATGTATCCTTTTGCTTTTATTATTTAAGACAGACCACATTTACTATCAAGCTTGTGCACTCCTGCATCTTTTAGAAGGATATTACACTTGACAGATGGTAAAAACTGGCTAATCTTCTTCAGCAGTTTATAGTATGTTATTATGATATGTGAATCCTCTAACATATAGTAGAATGCCAGGCACACGATTCACTCACTTATATATGGACTCAATACTTGAAAAAATTATTGTCACCGCTGAGAGCATGCAAAAGCACACATACCAGACAGTAAAACTATGATCACTTTTGATGTACAGTCACTATATACATGTCTACTTATTAAATAATGCCTCTCTAAAGTTCGATGAGCAAGCAGATGTTGTGGCGACAGGCTCGCCTTTGTCGCAAAAAGTCGCTGATATATTAATGTACATTGGACCTTTAGTAGAAAGCCGTTCTTACTTCACCTGTAATTTACGTAAGTTCAGGGTACGTAGAAGACACTAGCACAATTTTACTACAAGACAAAGTTACTGCATTCTGGATAATGTTAACTCCTTAAACTCTAAAATCAATTCAAAATGTAGGTAGTGTTATTGTGTGACATTTCAATTTGAAGATATCCTTGTAATACGAGTATGATTTGGTGGTGTACTGTAACCACTGTCATACTTCTACAATGAAAAAAATTAATTCTTCACATCGCTAATATAGGAGTCGTGATAGCTCAGCGCATAAGCATGTGCCTTCAAATTTTAATAGTCTACAAGTTCTATGCCATCCCATTAATTGCAATTTTAAGAGCCGATTTACAAGATGCTTGGTGACAGGGGAATCATGAGGATATCTACATATTTGATAAATTAAATTACATTTCGTCCGCCCACACACACAGGAGCAGGGGAGGAGAGTGCGAAGGACTTTTCCCTGCTCCAAAGTCTTTTCTAGAAATAGAAAACCTATGACCATTTCTAGGATGTATATAGGTTTGCTACTTTATTTTAATATTGCGTTTAAGCTGGAATTGAACGTTGTAATTAAACGTGGCAAAGCCATGCTGCAGCTATTACTAATTTAGTTGTAGCACAAATGGATCGGCTCGACCGGATAAGGACCACGTTCTCACAGAATACCAGCGTGTTATAACACTGTAAATAATAAATAATTCCTTAGCCGAAATATTTACTTTTAGTCATCCGAAATCATAGAAACAACATCATTCTATAATTTCTGTCATTAAAACACCATCCATCTCAGTCACCGTTAAATATCAGCTAGTTGTACTAACCGATATTTAAACGGTGAATCTCACCACCATCCTTCACAGATAGCTATCGTGGTGATATTTGTTTTAGACAGCACTGTAAGCACCTGACCGCCGAGCTCCAGCACGTCAAGCAACTATTGCACGACAACAAGCTTCGGATCCCGCCCCTACTAGTGACCAAGTAAAACCGGCCGCAATGAAGTGTGTGCCTACTGTACTACCATATTATGTCGGAGGAGCTACAAACAAGATTGGCTTAAAGCCGGGTCCAAAAGAACATACTACATGCCGTCGAAAAAGATTAGTCGGTTCTAAATGTAAATAGAGATAAAAAATAAAATCGATCGGGTCTGGCACATGGCGCTTCTTTCGAAGCTTCCTTCCTATGGGCTTCCCGAGAAATTGTGCAAATGGATCACCAGTTTCCTTGCTGATCGGAGCATCAAGGTCGTAGTAGACGGTGCATGCTCTGATTTCAAGCCTATCAACGCTGGTGTTCCACAAGGCTGCGTTCTATCACCAACGCTGTTTCTCCTGCATATCAATGATATGTTGCTAACTGGTAGCATTCATTGCTATGCAGACGACAGCACTGGGGATGCCTTATATACCGGCCGTGCCAATATTTCTCGGGAAAACGTCGCCGAGTACCGGGACAAACTTGTGTCTGAAGTCGAGTCTTTGCTTAACAAAGTCTCGGATTGGGGCCGACTAAATCTAGTCCAGTTCAATCCACAGAAGACACAAGTTTCCGCGTTTACCGCTAAAAAGAACCCCTTTGTCGTATCTCCTCAGTTTCAAGGCACTCCCCTTGCTGCCTCAGTCAGTATAGGAATCCTTGGCGTCGATATATCGAATAGCGTGCAGTTTCGTGGTCACTTGGCAGGTAAGGCGAGCGAGACAATATTTCATGCCGGCACATCGCTTGCAACTTTACAAAGCGCAAGTTCGGCCCCACATGGAATACTGTTCTCAACTCTGGGCCGGGGCACCCCAGTGCCAGCTCCTTCCACTTGACCGCATCCAGCGCAGAGCGATTCGAATCGTCGACGACCGAGTTCTTTCCGATCGGCTCGATACACTGGCACTGCGTAGAGATGTTGCATCTCTTTACGTATTTTATCGCATCTATCACGGGGAGTGCTCTGAGGAATTGTTCGGACTAATTCCAGCCGCTCAATTTCACCTTCGCACGTCGCGACAAAACTCGCGTTACCATCCATACCATCTGGATGATCTACCACTGTGCGATTTAGAAGAAGTTTTCTCCCTCGCACAACTTCCTTGTGGAATCAATTACCACCAGCGAATTTTCCGGACCAATACGACTTAGGAACCTTCAAGAAAAGAGGTTACACCTTTCTAAAAGGCCGGCAACGCATCTGCAATTCCCCTGGTGTTGCGGTTATTCATGGGCGGCGGTAGTCATTTACCATCAGGTGAGCCGCATGCTCGTTTGCCCCCTATTCTATAAATAAAAAAAAATTCTATTGAATTTTTTTTGATGATGGCCGGGTGCTACCATCTGCTAAGGATCCCATAATTAATAAGCCCAAGCATACTACTGTAAGCTTGCTTTGCGTAGATTTTACCAAAAATTAATATTAAAAATTTGAAGGTAGCTTTCTTTAACTAAGACATCAGGACGTTAATACTGAGGTCTCCTTGTCATTGTCATTCATTACAGGCTATCAAAGGCCACTGCTGAACATAAGCAGTAAATTGCCTCGTAAGGGGGTGTTTGCTATAGTTGCCACGCTTGGTAGATGGGCTGGCACCTGCAGTTGTTATTCGTTTATTTGTTGCTCGAATATAAAGGATCATTAATCTCAAGTCATGTAAATTTTGAAATATGTACATCTTACCATTGTAACTGAGGATACGAAAGGGACCGCGCAGTGTTAAGGCGCGGCCCGCTGCCAATGCGTAGCTTTGAAGTGCGCTCGAGTTGAAGAACGAGGGGTCGCGCGCGTCGCACGCAGAGCGGAGCACGAGAAGCATGGGAACTACGGGGTCGACGGTGCCAGTGGGGATGAAATCTTGCGCGGGCGCTTCTTGCGGGGCGGCGGATGTACCGGGGGTGGAGAAACGTGCGGGAGCAGCGGGGTTGGAAGGGGTTGCGGGAGTGGAAGGAGTGGACGGGGCAGTGGGGGCGGCAGCGGCCGCGGCCAGCAGCAGCAGCAGGCGGCGCATGGCTCACGCGCCGCAAGCCATGCCGCCGCGCTCGCGCTCCACCGCACAGATTACGTGCTTCGCCTCGCCGCACGAGATCAAACGACCGCCTCCTTGGGCACTGATTGACACATCGGTGCGCATTGTAAAAAACACAACCTTATCGTATTTACCGCTCTATTTGTTTTTCGCTTAAACTTTTTACTTTATTTTATATGATCATTCAGCTGTTATGATTTTTGACGTGATAATTATAACTTATATCACTTCTCCGATATATGCGTTTAATTGGATTTGATATTTTTGCATGATTTTCTGGTATAATTATCTGTTGTTTAAGTAAGACACTATTATTGGTGATTTTTCTGAGACACGTCGCTGATATGTACACATACGTCAATGTTTACAAGGTGCGCGGCGAGGGGCGACCCGCGGCGATAAGATAGCGCGCGGCTCGAAGCGCGGACTGCGGCTGCTGGAGCCGGAGCTCCGGCGATCGCCCCCGTCCTCGCCCGCCCGCCCAGCCTGCACGTCGCCTAGCTTGCAGCACGCACGCGCGCCGCCGCTCGGCCCGAGCTCGCTGCTCGCAGCCCCGAACCATTAATGTTTACTCTTTTTTAACTGAATGCGTTACGAAACTCATAATTATTAAATTTATAAAAGCTATTTCGTACCGGAGGACAGGAAATAGAACATAAGTAGTAATTTTATAAAACGTTAGTCGCAGTCTTTACTTACTTCTTTTTATATGTTACTGCTTCTGCAATATGAACTGTAGAAAGAAGTGGAAATTTGACCTGTGTTCTAACTAATAAAAATTATTTCATTTAATATTTCACTATTCATTTAATATATACTTTTATAATGATGTTATTTTCATTCATAACTAGCGATATGGGCATTACCATGTATTCAAATTCAGTAAAAACAAAATAAAATTTTCACTTACTATTAATTTTATTATTACAGTACTAGTATGCAATAAGAAAACTCTTTTATTTTAAATAATTTATTTAAGTAAGACAACCCCATTTTGAAGTTTGCATGTATGATGCATTGTAATGCTTTACAGATAATTCTCATGAAGTTGAACGTGCATTTAAATCGTGAAAGTGAGAATTCAGTGGGATAATAAAAACGTTCCGATAATACAGCTTCAAACATTCTGGTTTTTTTTATAGGATAGGGTGACAAACGAGCACACAGTCCACCTGATGGTAAGTGGTTGCTGTGGCCCATAGACATCTACATCTATCCTCGTTTGCGAATCAAAATGCAGATGCGTTGCCACCCGTGAGGACTAAGATGGAATGCCTCTTTTCCAGTAAAAAGGGTCTCCGGTTCTCTACACTCACCATACGAAACACAGCAGCGTTAAGCTGCTATTTTACGCTGGTATCATGTGAGAGCGTGGTCCTTCCCCGCTCAAGCCAACCCATTCGTGCTACAACTGTGTTACTAATATAGCTGCAGCATGGCTCTACCACGTCTAAAAACTCTATGTCTAGGTCACTAGTATGTCTTAACTTTTTACACAAAGGGTCTTTAGAAGCAACGTCGATTACAAAATTCATATTAAATAGACTTAATAAAATATAAAAAAATAAACTATCTTACTCCTTACTGAATCCGCAAAGGTGTTATGCGCAGCGGGACACGCGACTACCGAAGCAGACAGTAAGGCGAACGCATGACCGACAGCTAACCAGAATACGTAATTCAGAGTCATACCATAAAGATAATTATTACATTATATTTACACGAATAAAAAAGGTGTCAGCCAATCAGTAGCCTTAGGGACGACAACTAAGCTCCACCATGTGTGATTTGAAATCGTGCGCCGAACGCGTTATATTTCTTAACATACTACAAACGTATACGTAATTAGTACATACATAATAGTAATACAATGTTTATTATATACTTATCCATAACCAAAATGTATATTGGGACTTCCCGATGGATTCTGCCACTTGGCTAAGAAGTTACAAGTAAGAATTTTAAAATGCATTGTACCTAATGAAATTAAAAATAATTGTAACGATTATTATAATGTATTGTAAAGTGCTTACACTGCAAAATAATATTAAGATATCAATTCTGCCCGTGTATTAGCGGTATTAGAATATCCCACTGTGGGTGTCGTGAGAGGCAACAGAGGGAAACAAGCCAGGAGATGGGCAGCAGCGTCTTTTCAATATCAACTAATAAATAAAAAACTGCGAAATTGAGAGAATTTAGAGGGAGGTCTTTGTTCAGTGGCGGACTTCAAATATTTCGTAACGAATGATGGACACAGTGGCACTTTTAAAGACACCCAGGTTTAATAGACACCCGACACAGCTACCATACCTACTATAGACCTTATGGTAGCAAGTTCACTCTACAAACACGAACTGAAAATGATTCCTTTTTCACATTATTTTAATGCATTCACTTTGAACATTAAGCATTATAGTACTGTGAATGCTTAATTATGCAATAAGGTCTTAAAATACATTAAATTTACTAATAACATCCTTAAAAAATAGTCCAAAAGTGCACACCCCAAACGCTGATGAAATATTTTAAATGGATTACAGAGGTGATTAATCGAAAGAAACTAGCTCTACATGATTCTGTAGATAGTGAAAAATAAATTAGGTCGTCTTTTTAAGTAGTTTTCGAGATTTTTGTACACAGAGAATTTGTGAACCACAGACTAAAGGACATCCACAATATAATTTTTTATCGGATTTTTTTTATAATAATACGTGTTGCTGAATTTAAAATAATCATCAGGCTTGTTTTTTAGTGTTTAATCTTTCTAATCGTGTGCTTTCCAAAACATATTAGTGGGATGTAAAATAATAAACATGATTTCCCGTGAGTGAAACGAATGAAACGAATTTAAGAAATTCGACAGTGGAGCCCAACCTCTCCGCTGCGCGTTGGAGGTGTGTAATATTAATAAGGTTTAAAATACTAAAACTTCAAGGCGATTATATTACAATAATAAAGATAAATAACATTTATAAATCATATATTTCTATGTCATGGAGTGTGTTCATGTTCATCTCTCAGACTATTGCTTCAAATCCAAAAATAATAATCTTCCGAATAATGATATGACACATAGAATCTTTATTTGAAACTTGCACCAAATCTAAGGGTGGATATTCTATACATTATTATTCGAGATTTGCCGGAGACGCGTCGTGACTGTCAACTGAAGTACTGTTTGTTGTTAAATATAATAGTCCCATAATGTTGACATATGATAGTAGGGTATATGAAACAAAAGCAATAATGTAGAATGTCTCAAAGATGATTAAGCATTATTGTTATAGAGTTGGGGCTTGAATTTCCTAAAATAAGACTTATGAAAGAAGGTTTATGCAGTAACAAACATGTCTCAAATAATGTAAGAAAATATTACATTGATAGTAATGGGTCTTGAAAGGTTTTTACCAGGATAAGGCCTCTTCTGTGTAGTGAGGATTTGTCTAACTAGTAAAACTGAGAATGTGTTTAGATGGGGTGCCTACGCATACCCGCCTCGCGGGGGCAACGGGTTGTGACGGATTCGTACCGGCTAAAACCTCATGGTGTTCCACCTTCGCCGCATATTAACAGGGCTAAGGGTTCGTTTTGGCACATATCCGTAGCCCTACCAGTTCCGTGCGCGCCATCGCGACCTTTTCTTAGGGAGGACAACTCCTTCCCTTCTTTTTCTAAGGTAAGGCGCATCAGAACACACGCGGTGCCTTCCTCCGCGTGCTCCATAACCACCTGCGCAACTAACCCCTCGACACCAATACGTAGAAGCCATAGAGCTAGGTAAAACGAGCACTCGGAAGCATCAGCCTTCCTGACCCTGGTGGATCTCGTCTATGGATTTTGCCGCCAACTAAGCTTCGGTCGCGGAGTGTAGGAAGAGCATCGCCGCACAATACCAACACTCTTCTCCCCCCACGGCGCCGCTAGAGTCGTTGAGGTTCATCACGCTTAGCAGGACGGTTAGTGGCAGTGGCAGTCGTCTCGCACCTTTCTCGCCGTTACCTACCGCTGGTCTCTGGTCAGGTATTTTACGTCTGACGCAAACGAGACGATTATGCCACCATCTGTTAGAAGCAATAACATTTTTCTAGCATATCCCACAGACGCCTCTAGTGACAACCACGAGAATGGACAAAATAGGGTGGATGATGTAGATTTTTACGTCTTTTAAACGTCTATGAGTCTAATAACAACCAGTAAGTCCTTAGTCCTTATTCTGGTAGGAACGCTTACTCCGAATAGAACTATCAATTTTATGCAAACAAATTTATTTTTATAAGGTTTTCTGACCATTCGTCGTTGCGTCAACGAGATCCTATTCCTATTTGAGCAAATTAAAATATTCATTAATTACAGCGTATAAAAGTTCACTACTGAAGAAGGCCTCCCCCATAGATTGCCTCAAAGAAAGGATTTTGTCATCGTTGTCACACTTGGCAGGCAGTTTGGTAAACGAAGTTTTTTATTATTTTGATTTATCAGGAAGATGTCGCTGCCCATCTCCTGTTTTAGTTTCTCTCTGTCGCCTATTAGAACACACATGAGACGATATGGGGTAGAGGATATCTTACATCGCCACTACACAGTTTGAAATATTTTATAGGAATAAAAAAAATTGTAGTCTGCTTTTATAGGAAACAAATGTCTTAGCTTTACCTACTGCAAATATAAATTCAACATAAAATCATTTTATATGAACACAGTAGTGTGGACTGTGGACGCCACAGTACTCTATTGTATCCCAAGGCACTAGGGGCTAAACCTTTATACAACAATATTCAAACAACATGACACAAAAACAATGGAAATATTCGATATTTTCTAAATTTTTTATTCAATCGTGCTGATGCCTCACATACACCTTTATAATGCTTCCAATGTCATATTTTATTTGTAACCTTACCTTTTGATACTTTTAAATAAAAGCAATATGCTGTCGCTCATTGAAATTATGCAAGCTTTAAGCCGAACGTCCACCGCGAACTGAACTATGTTTATTTATTCGTATGGCGTTCTTACAATCGTTCACAATAAACTAAATTTAAAATCAAAATTATAAAGTTATTCTATCTTTTAGTTGCTGAATCCATGGGATGGCGCCGTTTTCGAAAAAGAACAGATCTGTTGGGTCATATGCTCAATATCCTGGACGGCAGCTCCACACTCACATCCCGGTGATTCTCTCCACACACACATGGTCATGAACGCATTGCTTCGCCCGCATCCGGTTCGTACCCTATTCAGTTGGCACCATTCCCTTCTTGGGAGCGCAAAACCAGCAGGTTTAAGTGTAGGGTTGGTGGTAACTCCCATGCCATCAGCTTTTGCGTTCCATTCCTGCAACCACTCAGCAGATGTGTTAAATCCGCCGGACACGAGTTCACGTGCGGTCTGGTATAGTGGGACACGTGACGTGACTTCAGACGGTGGGGTGGCGGATCAGTAAACTTCGCGTGAGCTGGCAGGTTCGGATTTCCGTAGATCTTCTGGGCCTCTAGTAGTAGTATCTGTTGTCTTCTCAAATGGGGTGGGCTTATATGGCTTAACACGGGGAGCCACTGGAGTGGGGGGGATACATTTTAAGGATCCAGATATGCATCTCATGGTCTGATTCAGTTGGGTGTCCACATGCAGCACATGTGAACTATTTCACCATACTGGTGCACAGTACTCTTCTATTGAGTACACCAAACTGAGACCGGTTGTACACAGCACATCGGCGCTGGCCCCCCAAGTGGCGCCCGTTAGCCTGTGCAAGATGTTGTTTGTGGTCTGGAGCTTTTTGGATAATTTGTCCATGTGCGGAGCGTACGCGAAACTCCGCTCGAGAGTCACGCCACGCCCAGGTATCTCGGAGTGGGGTTGTAATGCAACATGGCTCCAGCAAACTCAACAGTGTGCTCGTATTTTTCCATTTTGGTTAGCCAAGTGAAACGCAGTTACTTCGTTTTTGGCAGTGTTTGGTACTAGTCTCCATTTTCTAAAGCATTTGTCTAGTATACTTAAGTCCTCGTTAAGAATACCTTCGGATGGTTTGAAGGTTTCGTGTTGGGAAGCTAGTGCTATGTCATCAGCATACATAAATTTACGACTCTGCGTTTCAGGTATGTCATGTAAGTAAAGATTTAAGAGCAGCGGAGCCAAAACTGAACCCTGTGGTAATCCATTGTTCAGCTTTTTGATACGACTTTCACTGTCGCCAAGGAAAACCATGAACTCACGGTTGCTAAGCATACTATTTAACAGCCCCACTATTTTTCTGCATGGTACCGCTTTCATGAGCTTGTAGACCAATCCTTGCCGCCAAACTGTATCGTATGCCGCTAACAGGTCTATTAAAACAGCAACCGTCTTTAGTTTCTTTTGAAACGCTGCTTCAATGTGGGTTGTGAGGGATAACACCTGGTCGGTATAGTTGCGGCCACAACGGAAGCCAGCTTGTTCCACTGGGTTAGTCATTAGTCTCTCTAGAAGTTTCTAGACGCAGCTCAGAAGGGCGATAGGACGGTAGCTCTTAGGATCGTCTGCAGGTTTTTGGAATTTCAGTATAGCAATAATCTTAGATCTATTGAATTCGCGAGGCAATTTGTTACGTAACAGGATATCTGAGAAGAAATCTTTCAGCCATTTCCTGCATTTCTTGAGGTTTAGAAACTCATTGTAGACTCCATCGAAACTTTATTAGGGGGTAATAGTTTCAAAGCGCGATCGGTTACATCTTAGGAGAATTCTCGTGACAGCTGGTAGTCAATTGGTAGCGACGTCTTGAGCTTTTTAGCGCACTTTCGTGTCGCCCGGGTATTATCTTTCCTGCCTTTAACTCGGGACACCTCCACTTTTCTGTTTGCTATTGCGTTGGCTAGTAGAGCAGATCCGCCACGGGAGTTTGTTACAGTCTTGCCTGGCAACCCATTGAGCACCCTCCAAGCTTTACTGCTGAAAGTCTTAAAATCCATTGACTCCACGGTATCGAGCCACCTATTTCGACGCCCTTCGTCAAAAGTTTCAAAAGGTCATCACCTATTTCATTGTTACCCATGCGCGTGTACTCATCAAATAGTTTTTCGCTTTCTTCCGTCCAGCAAGGGATGTACGCCTTGTGGTCGTCTTGGGGAATGTTTTTTTTGTTATGTTATGATAAGTTTAGTGAATCGCTTGTAGTTTTCGGCACAGAGAGATATCCATCTGATAGCAGCATCCATGTCAGCGCTGAATTTGGGCCAGTCTGCTTCGTGGAAGTTCCATCGAGGCAAAGGCATGGAGTTTGTTAAGGGGATCTTAATACAAACCTCCACAAGCACAGATCGGTGCTGGCTGTTCGGGAAGTCTGAGAGAATTCTTCGTGTGGTTTGTAATGGGGTTCGATTGATGTCACAGGTAGTAAACGTTAGGTCTGGTTTATAATCCCGTTTCCATCTTGCTCACCTGAACGATCCTCTATCCAACATTAAATTCCATGTGTAGGTTGTTGTTCTCCGCCCATTGCACGAAGTGTTCACCATTTGCATCATTTTTGTTATATCGCCAGGTCGTGTGATGAATATTAAAGTCGCCAGCATATAGGCATGGGTGTGGGAAAGCGGGGAGGTTGGTAGTCCATGAAGAGTTCGGTGGTTTGTATACGTTTACAATGGTAATGTTATTGATCATTATTGCAGAGGCAAATGCATCCGGACCCCCAAGGTAAGTCTCCGCAATGACATGTTTAATACCGTTTTTAACATAAGTGGCGATGCCATATTGCGCGTGGTTAATTGCATGAGCAAAGTAGTATCCCGGGATAGCACCACGTTTATGTAGATCCTGTTCATCTCTAGCGTAAGTTTCTTGTAAAAGGAGTAGTTCTATATCATTTTCTAATAGAATCTTACTTAATACTTCGCATTTAGCTTGACTAATACTTTATATATTAAGTTGGCAGATTCGGGTAGTAGTCCGGTGGCTCTCCGAGGAGAGCTGATTGCATTGAGGCATTTCAAGTGGGTAATTAAATGATATAATATTCTTCGAACGACTGTGATAGTGCTGTGAGGTTGCAGGATTACAGCGCAACAGTACAGCAGCCAGTAGTTTGTTGTTCGTTTAGCGCCACCCAAGGGATACGTGCAGGGTACGGGCGGCAATTCCTGAACTATGTGAAAACTATGCTCATTGTATTAAACTGAGCTGAACTGGAAAATCATTGCACGTTCACCGAAAAATAAGCTAAAACAAACAACATTTAGCAAAACACGCCATGGGGTAAGGTAAGTGGGTTAGAGGCGATTAGCTTAGTTAGTTCGACTTAGTTTGGCTATTTTACCTAGCTTAGCCTAACCTTTTAGCTGGCATTGTTTGCGGTGGACGATGTATGAAACACTGGCTCAGCTATGCGAGCAAAAATAAACTTAGTTTAATTTGTGGTGGACGTTCGCCTTTAATCTCTAGTGCGCTGGAGGTAATGAGCTAACTTTTCACTTAAACTCTCAAACTTTTCCTTGTTACCGCGTCGTTTTGTGCCAGGTGTTCCCTCGACTCCCCACTGCTTACTTCCATGACCCAGCCTCCACTTTGTCACTCTGTTCTAAGCGCACTTTCATTTTAATACTTTAAAATTAGTTTCATAACTATGGCTTGGTTTATATTAAAGAATTATGCTTTCGTTATCATTCAGAATCTAATTAGAGAGATAGAGAGTCGAAATATTATCATTCATAAAGTATAACAATTTTACCTGAATGGTGATAAAAACCATATAATACGTCTTCGTCGACGATATACCTCTTACAGACTGTTTAGTTTACCACGTGAAGGTTAAAAAAATGAAGATTATGTTAACTTGATTTGCAGAAATATTATATATATATATATATATAGATAGATTAGAGTCCATTTATAATCAGGTGGACTGTGTGCGGTGGTCAGCCTTATTCAATAAAAAAAAATTGTAACATTATTTTAAGTTAACTAAATCAACGATGGGATCTAACGATATTTTATAACAATTATAATTTTTATTTAATAGTCTTACAAGTCTCTACTGTGTATTCGACACTAATGTTTTTATTTGTTATCCGAGAGTTACCGTTAGAAAATAATACATATAGAGAAAGGTTTCTTCTCTGCTCTGATGCTCTTGCGTCACCCTTATTCTAAAAAAAAAGTATTAGAAGAGTTCTTAATACTACCTCGAATTTTGAACGCACGGCTAGTTAATAACTTACCCTTTTATCAGTGTGTTGCGTTGTTCGGCAGAGCAGTGGGGCAGTGGGGCAGTGGGTGAGTGTGCCCCCCCCCCCCCCAGACCGTGACACAGTGGCCGCGTAACATAAGGGTCGATTCAGACCTGACACGAGTCAGAGCGCATTTTACAATTCAAAAAATGAAACTGATTTTTTTTATCAATTATCTAAGTTCGTATTTGGATGTAACATTTGTTTAAATAAAAAATATCTCGGAATTTCTTCGGTATCGTGGATACCTTTTCTGCAAATGTACAGAAACTGCACCTAGGCAACATTTAGATCGGTAACAGTTATTTGTATGCCATACAAATAGTAGTTTCGTGGGATATTCGAACCTGCAAAATATACTCAGCTGACGTTCCGCAGATTGCGCGAGCTGCATCAATACTTTCTAGAAATGTTATGTTACTTGCGAATATATACTGTAACACCTCATAAACTTACTTAAATAACTTTAGCATTGGTCCCTTGGGATAGAGGTAAAGCTTTAGTGTGAGATGCTACTTGCGTAGACACTTTGACAGCCTCTCATCTCAGGGGATGTTTCAATTCGCTTAGAGCCGGGGCGGCATCAGAGGCAGCTGAACTAAATAAGTGGCGCAAATATGAGTCCGTCGGGTGTGAATCGTCTCTAAGGATCGATCGCGCGCACTTCGGAAGGTCAGCCGATACAAACACCCGCCTGGTAAAGGGGTTGGGTCGCACGTAATGATACGAGCGGATTTATAGGTGCGTTATCTACTTATTGGCTTTGAAAAGGAAACAAATTATAGGTATGTATACAAATTTTATTATAAAGCATATGAAGTTTTAACAGTTTATAAATAAATATTAAAGAATTTGATTATTTTTTTAAGTCGGCACAGTAAACATCTTGCACCACGTACTTGAAACAGCAGGCGACCGGGTGCCCACTGAGAGTCTATCGAACCTTGCTTCTTCTGTCATATCTGGAAAGCAATAATCACAATAAAAACGGTTTCTCGTTTCACTGATATGAATGAACAATAATATCCTAGTGACCCGAAAACAGATGGCAGGGTTTGTCGCAAATCGACAGTCAATCCACCAAAATTCTTTTTTTGTAGTAGTAGTTTCGTTTATAGCAGCCGACGTCTCGCTAGATGCTTCTAGTCACCGAACTGCATCTTGTATATTTGGCACAAGTTTAAGTCGATTACACCGCTATCTAACCATGTAGCGGCGGTGTAGAATATCCACTACTGGTCTACCTATATCATCCCTCTGGGTATCGTAAGAGGCGACACAGGGAACTGAACCAGGAGATGGGCAGCAACATTGCTGATAAGAACTAAATAAAAACTGCGGTTGCCAACCCACTTGCCAAGCATAGCAAATACCCCCTTTATGAGGCAATTCATTACCCGGTAGAGCCATGCTCCAGCTATATTAGTCGGTTTGAGAAGGGAAGGACCACACTCCCACAGAATACCAGCATAAAATAGCAGCTTAACGCTGTTGTGTTTCGTATAGTGAGTGTAGAAAACCGGAGACCCTTTTTACGAAAAACGAGGCATTCCATTTTAGTCCTCACGGCTAACACCACATCTGCATTTTGATTCGTAATTGAGGTTGGATGTAGATGTTTATGCGCCACAGAAATCACTTACCATCGGGTAGACTGTGTGCTAGCTTGTCACCCTTATCCTATTAAAAAAGTCTATAAGGGGCGGTCTATTTTTGAGACTTTTGATAGGCTGTAATGATGATGAGGATATCGTCATCTGTCATCACTTGTGACCATGAGATCTTTTTAGCAGTTTCTATAGAGACTTATAAAATATGACCATGTTTCCGAATATCGCGAAAAACTCAAGTAGCTTCCGATCTGTCTTCGCAGGAATACTCACATTCTTTCTCTTTTATACTGTATTCTATTCAATCCCACTTCTCCTGCTTACCTTAAAGAGCGGTTTGAGTTTCTTGGTGAGACTCACAGTCACTCTCTTCGCTGTGATAAAAACCTCACCCTAAAAATTCAATCCCTGACACTTCCTTCTATTTTAAATCCTTTCCTCTATAAGTTGTTAGGCTCTGGAACTCCCTAACGCTGCACATTAGAAGTGCGCAGTCAATTGAAAAGTTAAAAAAAAAACTTGTATACTCATATATATGTCTATATTTGTGTATTTAAATGTATTTATTTATTATAGTATGTATCTACTTATTAACGATATGTATGTGGTGTGTATTGCCCAACAACCTACGTATACCCTTACCATTTCTCACAGGTCACTTTATCCTCTGCAATTTTTGCCTGGTAGAGATCGCTTCTAAGCGATAAGGCTGCCAATTGTACCTTTAAATAATTTATGTTTTTTTTTCTCTCATATGTATTTCTGGTGCAAAATAAAATATATTTCGTTCATTCTTTCGTTCATTTATAGAGATATATTTCATTTTATATATTTCATTCATTCATAAATCTGACAAATGGCTTCAAATGACAATATAATGGAATTGTAGCTAGTGAGATTCCAACAAAATTTTTAATATATTTTTTGCTCGTACGCTGTGGTTGATTGTTCAGCAAGAAAACTGTAACTAGCTAAGGAGTTTATTATATATTTATTTGCAATAAATAAATTCTTCCGTACCAGTTTATATACATATCGAAAAAACGTGAGACACAGTCACGCTTTATGTACGTACGTTTTTGCTTTTTTTGTAGGAGATGGGGCAAACGAGCATGCGGCTCACCTGATGGTAAGTGAGGACCGCCGCTGATGAACATCTGCAACACTAGGGGAATTGCAGATGAGCTGCCGGCGTTTTAAAAAGGAGTAGCGTCTCTTCTTAAAAGTCCCTAAGTCGCATCGGTGCGAAAAAATCGCTGGTGGTAATCGATTCTACAAGGAAGTTGTGCGAGGAATAAAACTTCTTCTAAATCGCACAGTGGTGGGCCGCCAATCATCTAGATGGTATGGATGGTATCGCGAATTTTGTCATGATGTGCGATGGTGAAACTGAGCAGCTAGAATTAGTCGGAACGATTCCTCACAGCACTCCCCGTGGTAGATGCGATAAAATACGCAAAGAGATGCAACATCCCTACGCAGCGCCAGTGAATCGAGCCGATCGGAAAGAACTCGGTCGTCGACGATTCGAGCCGCTCTGTGCTGAATGTGATCAAGTGGAAGGAGTTGGCACTGGGGAGCCCAAGCCAAGAGATGGAAACACTATTCCACGTGAGGCCGAAGCTGCGCCTTGTAAAGTTGCAGGCTGTGTATCGGCATGAAATACTGTCCCGCTCTGCTGAGCACGCCAAGCATTTTAGAGGCCAATTTGGCCTTCTCTTCCAAGTGAACACGAAACTGCACGTCACTCCATATGTCGACGCCGAGGATTCCGATACTGGCTGAGGCAACAAGGGAAGTGCCTTTAAACTGAGGAGATACGACAAATGAAGTTTTTTTACCGGTAAACGCGCAAACTTGTGTCTTATGAGAATTAAACTGGACTAGATTTAGTCGCCCCTAATTCAAGACTTTGTTCAGCAAAGACTCTACTTCAGACACAAGTTTGTTTCGCTGAAAACTTATGAATTTTCATAGCCTATGAAACTTTACAATGTAGTCAGAACTTTTGACGCATAACTGATTGAAACTTGTAAATCTAGGTGTCAAAAGCTTTTAGGATTCAAAACAATTTATTATTACAATGGGTTACTAAAATGACTGCGATGAATAATTCTAGGCTATGTGAATAAACTTCACGTAATCAAAGAGATACACGTTCATCATAGTCTGCCCTTATCCAATGTCACATTTAGGCGAGCGATGTGATAACTATAGGTTAGAATCATGTGCAAAAGCATGCATCTTGTGATAAATCTTTCTGAGAACTATAGCTCTGCAATATTACCAGCGATACCTTTGCTGTAACAATGCTATTGTGTAACACCTTGCAGAATTCCGACAGTGTTGCATCAACTGTATTGTTGTGCAATTGAGTTCATAAATATAGACCAAGAAACTTCCCACTGCGTGGGGCAGTATGGATGGATACTTGAGGGCTTTACAATTGCAGCTAGAAATTGTCACAAAACTTACTCGTTTAAGATCACTTTACGAGACACGGTACAGTCACTGCGTCCCGACTCAAAACCACGTGTTTTTGTGCGTATTGGCTTCGGCCGAAACTACCCCGAGCACATCAGTCAGTGTAACACTGAGTTGCCGTCATCGCAATCTTAGGTAATGATTTTTTAAAGGAATAAGCTCTTTCCGATGCTGAACATCACCATTCTTTTATTTGTGATCAGTATTTCCGGATGGATTTTTATGATCACCATTGGTTGGTTAACTTGAAAGTGTAACGCGTACAAATAACACATTGCAGACACTTTGAATATCACATCACGATGACAAGCCTCTGTCATGATAGAAGTGTCGTGTATAGGCGGCGTAATCTATAAATGAAAAATAAGAAAATTTACTTTGCAATATACAATACCCCACTCGTAACTATGAGCTGTACTCGTGGCTATCGTAACAGGTGACAGAAGGAAATGAAGCAGGAGATAGGCAGCAGCGTCCTGATAGCAATTCAAAATAATAAAAATAGTGGAAACGTGCGTGGCTGCTATAGCAGATATCCACTCTATGAAGCAGTCTATGAGAAAGGCCTATGTTCAACAGTGGACTTTTGATAGGCAGTAAAATATAAATAAATGAAATGATGTAGGTGTTTATCGTAATAAATTTAATACAGTATCAATGAAATATATTATATTAAAACATATAATTATCAACATGACAACGTTTATATCAAGAGATAAAAGATAAAAATGGAAACGATAACGTTGAGTTTTGAGTTAAAGAAAAAGTGGAATTGTAATAGAAAGAAATAATAAAAAGAGTTTCTCGTAAATTCGATAATTTAGTAACCATCCATGTTTTGATATGTCTGGAAAACTGAACGCAAAACTATTCAATGTTGAGTAAACCAACAAGTGCAATTAGGATAAAGTCGTAATCAGTATTTGCTATGAACAAAATTTGTTACCTATTGAGTAATATGTTTCTATTGTGCTACATCTTCTTCACATATCTTTCAGGAGACTTATTATTAAGGCATTCTTATTATAAGTGAAATGTTTTATTCGTTTCTATTAAATGAACTGAATTAGTTTCTTCAAAGGCCTAATAGGTCAAATTCATTACAAAATGTTGTAATTTATGACAAATGATGTCATAATTTATGAAATTTATGACGAATGATGATACATTATGTATATTTGAAGCAGATATTGAATTTTCATATAGATGAATCTAATTCTTGGATTCCATTGGACTTGTAAATTTTTATTTGCTGTGATGTATACCTGTCTGCGAGGCTTGGTAACAGTGGTAATTATTCATTTTGAGTGAGGCACTCTATAGAGGAGACCTCTGTTCCACAGTAGATTTTTGATAAATGTAATGGATGATTTTTTAAAGCATAAGGGTGACAAATGAACACACGGTCCACTTGACAGTAAGTAGATGTTGTAGTTTATAGATATGTTGCACGTTCGAGGAGGAGCGACCCGTCGAGCGAAGTCAGTCGCAAAGTTTGCGCATACTCACTGTTCATTTGTTTATATATATATATATATATATATATATATATATATATATATATATATATATATATATATATATATATATATATATATATATATAATACTATGTGTGCGTGCGGGGACAGCAGGACTTACCATAGACTGTCGGAGTCAATCGCAAAGTACGTTATCAGCGTTCAGCAGATGTCCGTGCGCGACGGCTTCTATGCGTGGTGCATCAAGCCGCAGCGCGAGGCGGCCTTCACTGAGCTGCAAGTCCCTTGCGCCGAGCCTTGCGTAGAACCGGCGCGCGGCGCTGTTGCTCGCCGCCACGTGCCAGTCCACGCGCCGCACGCCGCTCGCCAGCGCGCGCGCGCACAGCTCCTGCAGCAGCACGCGCCCCACCCCCGCCCGCCGCCGCGACGGCACCACGTACAGGTCCTCAAACACGCAAATCAAACTCTCGCTTAGATCGTTCCGTTACTTAACATTGAAACAAACGAACAAAATTATTTATTTCTCATTAAAGTGATTTCTTATATTTACGTTACGAATTTAATCGCGTTGAATTTTAAGACGCTAACGAAGATTATATTCAGACGCCGGCTAATTATTTGCTACACGCATTAGGAAATACGAAGAAAAGTTCTAATGCGTGGAATATCGACAACAAAAGGGATGAAGACCCGCCGACCACCTGGTTGTCCGATGGTGGAAAGAGAAGGGAGGAATTAAAGCATGTAATTTCTGCGCACTCTTTTGTTCGTCAATCATCTATCATCATAACAGCCCATCACAAGTCCACTTTTAAACAATGGCTTACACCAAGGAACAGCGCTACAAAACGCACTCATAAGCCAACTGCATATTTTACCAGATCCTCACTCCATCTATTAAGATAGCGTCTTACACTTGACTTACCGGTACGAGACTGCCACTCGAGAACTAGACTCGAGAGATATCGGGAAGACGCTATTGCGTATCTCCAGGTTTGTTTTTCTCTGTCACCTCTTACGACATCCACGGGATGATATGGGGTAGTGGATATTCTTACACTGACACTAAATGGTAGTACTGTTAATTCGGGACATCACTAAAGCAAAATATTGCAGTACCAAAAGTGCTGCAGCGTTGGTTTTGGAACGGTGTTCAATATTACTATCAAGGACGAAAATAACTAAGTATAGTGACGGAAAGATGAAACATTATGTTATGTAATAAGATTTTTTAAAGACTTAAACAGACAACACAAAACACTTTTTTGTTAAACATTTCAAAATAATAATTTCTTAACTAAAATATCCCCGTATCAAGAATGAAGCCCAATTTCTAACAAAGCAAATAAAACGAAGTGAAATATTTTACGCGCCTACTCAATATTCTCCTTAATATTGCCTGTAATATTTATCTACTGAATATGAGCCTCCACCGTCATAGACACTATTTCTCTCAATATTACGACAGTAGGCAGATGATGATCACATTTCTGTATGTATCACACCTGGCGTTAAAAGATAATTGTACTATCTAACGAAAGCCGTATTTGTAACATGTCTAATAGTCACCTCTTACTACAGCCACAGTAAGCTATGAGGTAATGGATTCTCTTACACCGCCACCACACGGTAAATAGACTTATATTAAACATTCGATATAATTGAATCTAAACATCGATGAAATTGTAATATCGTACAGGTTATGTTATATCGATAAGAAATATCAATATGTCAATAATTTCGCAAACCTACCTCCAAATAGAAAGCGCGCCGCGTCCAACTCGAGTAGGCACGGTTGCACATCGCATAGCCTACGATCTCACCCTCGCATTCCGCTATCAACAGGAAGTACCACGGCGGTGAGCTATCGAACCCGTCTTCCTCCAAATCTAAAGCACAAAATTTTTCTAATTCTTGTCACAACTTTTGTCAAACTGTTAAACTTCAAGCGATACGATACGATATTCTATACCGCTGTGGGTACCTCAAGGTATGCTCGGACTAAGCCCGACTTAGGGCATTTTAAACACAGTTTTAAGTGCTGACATAAAATAATGTCTCCCACACCAAATTTGGTAACAACAGGATTAGAGTGCAGGATTGTGAGCGCTACAACAGGTTCACTCTCTATTCCCTTAATATCATAGTACGGTGAGACGGTAATCTGAAATAACTGGACAGATCAGGGGCAGGACCAATAAAACACGTAATGCTTTTTCGAGGCATTTTAGCATTAACATTTCAATTCAATTATTAAAATTATTGCTTCTTATTCATCCCTGGTGTACCTCAGGGATCCTATTTCGGTCCTGTCCTATTAAATTAATTAATTTATGACATAACTTCAATATTCCATCGTGTAGGCTTAGTGCATATTGTCATGTAAATGATCTTTGCTTGAACATTAGGAACGTTAACATTATCTCATTTACTAGGAAAAAGAATCCCATCCTCTTTAACTATAAATCAAAATTTTGATGAATTATCATTACTATTAACCCGACTGAATATTTCTTGTGATTTAATAGTATTGTCTGAGTGCTGGCTCTCGTATGTTCAAAATTTACCCCAGTTAGATGGCTACAAGGCTTATTGCACAACAGATAACTATAATCAAAACGATGGTGTTGCCGTCTATCTTAAAAACAATATTATGGCAACTGTAGAGGAACCACTAATAAATGAGTGTAATTGTTTACTTATTAAAATTAATAATTCAATTGCAGTACTAGCTATTTATCGCCCCCCATGTTTTAAAGTCATTAGCAAGTTTCTTCAATCTCTACACAGTCTTCTTAATTCACTCGCTACGTATAAAAATGTAATAATTGTAGGGGACATTAATATCAATATATCCATAATAAATAGTGACACCCTCGACTATCTTGAACAGCTACTCTTTCATGGGATGACCTCTGTATATTCAAATATTTTAACCACGGATATAAGTTGCCTCGATCATGTCATAGTCAAAACTAAGAAACCACTTCGCACTTTCATAATGAACACCACAATAACGGACCACAAAAGTATATTGACATGTATTGATATGAAAAATAAGTCACTTTTCCGTAATAAATACATTAAAAAAATTAATTATGATAATCTTATTAATGATTGCAAAAATATCGATTTTAATAATTTTTTATTAGAAAATAACACTAATAATTATACTTCATATTTTGTGAACACACTACAGAGTCTAATAAATAGTAATTCAAGTATAATAAAATTGCCCAGGAGTAGGCTCACTATAAAACCATGGATATCTACAGGTATGTTAAGATGTATAAGGAACAGGGACAGATTACACTCTAAAGCAAAACATAATCCGAGTAACGATATTTTAGTAAAAACATATAAGAGATATAGGAACTTTTGTAATGATTTAATTAAGAAGGAAAAACGAAAATATCACCAAAACGAAATAAATAAAAATAGAAATAATATTAAAGAACTTTGGAAAACAATACACAACGCGACTAATACTCAGAATAGCAAAAATATTCCTCAAGAGCTGTTGACCCTTAAAGACACACCCGAGCAGTCAGTAAATTATGTGAATAATTACTTAACCACCATAGGTTCCGAATTAGCTAATAATATCCCTAAAAATGTTCCACAATTGCCTCACAATGCTGTAAAAAATTTTTTGTCTAATACTAGTTCTTTTGTGATGCAGGATGCTTCTCAGGATGAAATTGAACAATTGATAATTGGTCTAAAAACTGAGTCTGGGCCTGGATGGGATGGTATTTCGGCTAAAACAATTAAAGCTTTAAAAGACTACATTGTTCCCCCACTTACGAAGCTCTTTAACCAATGTATAAAAGACGGTGTATTTCCTGACGCTTTTAAGAAATCAGTTGTACTGCCTATCCACAAGGGAGGGAAAAGAGACTGTATCAATAACTATCGCCCCATATCTATACTCTCTAGTTTATCAAAAATATTTGAAAAATTATAAATAAAAGACTTTTAGAATATCTAGAAACAAGTAAATTACTGTCTGAAAATCAATTTGGTTTCAGAAAATTTAAATCTGCAGAAGAAGCAGTAAGAATGTTCGTAGATTACGTTGCAATAAACTTAGATTCTCATTCAAAAGTCTTGACTATATTTTTAGATCTTGCTAAAGCGTTTGATACCGTCTCTTTCCCAGAACTTTTGGCAATTATGGAGAAGTTGGGCATCAGAGGTACCCAACTTCAATTGCTAAGCGACTACCTACATAATCGCACTCAGAGCACTAAAATTGATGATATTTTGAGTGACGATTGCTGTGTAACGCGCGGAATTCCCCAAGGCAGTGTTCTGGGCCCTACCCTCTTTTTGTGTTATATTAATAACCTCTGTCAAATTAATATTCCTAATTGTAAGGTTATGTGCTATGCTGATGACACCACACTTACCTTTTACGGTCAATCTTGGGAAGAAGTTTATTCTGTTGCACAAACTGGTCTCAATACAGTCCAACAATGGCTTGCTACACATTACCTATCTTTAAATGCAACCAAAACTAAATACATTCCTTTTTGTATTACCACACCAGCACTAATAGGCCAAGAGAACTTAAACTTATACGTCCATGATTGCTGCATACCACCGCTTTGTTCCTGTACGTGTCGCTCTCTTGAAAAGACCACGAACACAAAATACTTAGGTGTTATAATAGACTACAAACTTTCTTTCGAAGAACATATAAACCACATTTCTTCCAGAGTTCGTAAACTTACATACATTTTTAAGCAACTTCGTCATCTTGCAGATACCAGTATTATAAAATTTGTTTATACTGCTTTATGTCAGTCTATTATTAACTATAGCATAACGTCTTGGGGTGGTGCAGCAAAAAGCCACATGATTAGGTTAGAGCGTGCACAAAGACTTATACTTAAAATATCTTATAAAAAACACAGATTATTTTCAACAAATGAACTTTACAAGTACTGTGAATCGCTCACGGTACGTCAGCTCTATATTCTTGGGACAATATTATTAAATCATTCAAAAACGGAATATAATAAATCCAATCCTGTATTAAACAAAAGACTTCCTCATATGGTATGCTCAATACCTGTTACCAATTCATTATTTGCTCGAAGATTTTTCAATTACAGAGGTCCATTCCTATATAATCTTGCTAACAAATTATTAAATATATATCCGTTAACTAAAAGACAGACAAAAATTTCCTTAATCAATTGGCTTAAATCATTAGACTACGAACAGACAGAAAAACTATTTGAACGTATTATTTAAATATATATTACACACCACATGCATACACACACACACACACACACACACACACACACACACACACACACACACACACACGCACACGCGCACACACACACATACACACACACACACACACACACACAGACAGAGACAGACACACGTGCGTGCACACACGCACACCACATTATTAACACTTATTACACCTGCTTACCCTTACTAGTACTTAAAGCATGTTTTTCTTCTTTGTATATATACCTAGCAAGTAATTTTTACACAGTTTCTCCAAACTGAACAAGTATATTTTAATGTAATATTATTACACGTAGCTGTATTGATTATAAATGTTTTACAGCATTATAACTTCTGTTGAGGGACGGGCCTGGTGATCCCATAGCACAGGGCAACCTAGTTTGGGCACCAGTCTCCCACCTAGATCTTATTTAGTTAATTTTTATAGCTGTTATTTAGTTGTATAGTTCATTGTTACTAAGTTTTTTGTGATGTACTGATTGTAATATGTGGGAGAAAATAAATACCAGTTATTATTATTATTATTATTATTATTAATCTTGATGATAATTCACTAACGAGAGTTAATGAACTGCGTGATCTTGGTGTTCAGTTGGATAGTAAGTTGTTACTGAGATCACATATTAATATCATAACTAAAAGAGCTTATAAAATGCTAGGTTTCGTTATGCGTATCTCAAAAGATTTTAAAAAGTCTTCAACAGTTATTTTACTATAACACTCTGGTGCGGTCTATTCTTGAGTATTGTTCTTCATGTTGGAATCCTCAATACAAAGTTTATATTAAAATGATTGAAACAATCAACAACAAGTTTCTGCGTCACTTAAAGCGATATAATTCTTCTGTAGACTCCAACTTAAAATATTGTAAATTAGATATATTTCACCTTGAATATGATAGTTATAAAGAAAATATTGTAAAAGTTAATATATAATTGGTAGTATCACTTTGAGTTGTATATATAATGTTACTTTTAACTGCTTACTACTTAATGTTTAATTTATGAATACCATTTAGTTAGTTTTATTCTTTTATATTTTTAATTTTTATACAACATAATATTGTGGGGGCAAGCTTTTATTATGTATTAGATATCTGTGGAAACTTCATTGGTGTTTAGGAATACTTTTATATGTTTTATTGTGTAATTTATTACTATGTTTCCCTTAAAAAAACAAATAAATAAAAAAAATTACCTGAAAATTCTTTAAATTATTCAATCGGCCTCTGACTGAGCTCTTTTCAGACTTTGATTTAGATCGTCTTTAGTATATTTTTTTTTTAGGATAAGGGTGACAAACGAGCACACAGAGCAACACACCTGATGGTAAGTGGTTGCTGCGGCCTATAGACATCTACATCAATCCTCTATTACAAATCAAAATGTAGATGCGTTGTCACCCGTGAGGACTAAGATGGAATGCCTCATTTCCAGTAAAAAGGGCCTCCGGCCACCTGCACTCACCAAGCGAAACGCAGAGGTAAACCTCTACTTCACGCTGGTTTTCTGTGAGGTCGTGGTACTACCCCGGTTCGAGCCGGCCCATCCGTGCGACAGTAAAAGCTGCCGCGTGGCTCTACCACTGTTAAAAGCTCGAAAAGTTGTTCGTAGTATCGACTGTAGCGATAATTCTATATACTTACATCAATTAAAAAAGTACGTTTGTCATCTTTTCCAGAAGAGTAAATGAGAATGGTGTTTTATATACACACCATTATATTAATTAACAGTAAATTAACATTTATCTCACAATATATGAGTATCTATTAACAGGCCCTAATCGTGTAAAAAACGAAGTATAAAAATCACTTGTGAATTTTATTATAACATTTTTAATAATGTAATATTTTTCAGCATGTACAATGTTATGCATATGTTACGCAATAAAAGTCTTTAATAAAAACGTTAAGAAATACGTAATTAATATTTAACCTTAACTTTCAATGTTAATTTCTAGATACAGGCGTCGATAAATTTAGAATACCTAGAATTTCATAAATAAATCTATTTTCTGCCGACTTCCAAAAAGGAGACGGTACTCAATTCGACGCGTATGCTTTTTTTTATGTGTGTTACCTCATAACTTTTTACTGGGTGGACCGATTTCGATGATTCTTTTTTTATATGAAAGCTGATACTTCTCGTGTGGTCAAATTTGTTCAAGGTCAGACCAATAGTTTTTGAGTTATTTGAGTTATTCTTAATAACTTATATTGAAGTCGGGTGTACAAAATTTTTAATTTTAAATTATATTATAATAATATTATCTACGCATGGTTTACATAATGAAAATGAACCACATAATCTCATAATTATCATTCATTGTTATAGATATAATAATAATAGGTAGATAGTATTTTCTTTAACATTTGACAAATTTAGAGCAGAAAAGATTGCGTACTTTTATTATCTCTGCCCAACAACTAGACCGTCATTAAGCCGATTTCGTTTACCTAAAAAAGGAATATTTTTTTCAGAAACGATTGTAAGTCCAGTTCTAATAATAAGTTACTTATTAAATGGGAACTCCACCACCTCACCTGCCACGCTGAGCTGCGGGCCATCCGGCATGCCCTCGAACGTCGCTAGCTCCTGCAACAAAGTACTTTTCATTACATAATTCTATCTGTAATATAAGCCCTACCGGCCACATTCTATCCTACAGGACAAGGTAAATCCTTCTTTACCTCACAACCTTAAGGGTTAAAACAAGAATAAAAAAACGACTACGTAAAAATGTAGGGAAAACATAAAATACGTCGTTGATCAGTAAAAGGTAGTCTGTATCTATGACACGAAACAAATTTATGCGTTCTATTTCACGCTGACGTCATGTCTTCCCTGGTTGAGCCCATTCATTTAAGATTAACATCCAGTATCTATAAGATAGGAGCCGCCTCAAGTGACGTACCGATCTCGGGGATAATTACGATACACTTTGGGCTATCTGCAAGTTTCTCTGTCGAAGATCACGATCATCCTTCCAACACGGTTAATTGTTAAATTCGTCATCGATCCGCTGAGAAGATGTCTCTTCATACTTAACTTTATGACTTGCTATTAAACATTTTAAAAATATATTTTGCTTTACGTTAATAACTGTAAAATAATAAAAAATACATAGCATTTTTTTCTGTTTCATTAGAATTGTAGACAAATAATACAGGTATTATAAAATAACATAAAATAACATGATTCACATCCATAATTTCCTTTTGAACAGTATTAAATATAGGAAGCAAGGTTAACCCAGTTGTCTCTACATTCGTGTCGTTTTAGTACTTGGTGTCGGTAACCTGTCTATCTACTGTCCAATTAGCGAGGTTAAATTCGGTGAAATTAAAACTTATCGTTTCAAAAGTTAAAAGTCGACTATACAACAGACATTTCCTGAAGGTTTTGTTGCCTTTGATATACAGAAAAATGATTGTAAGTCAGTACCTACATACTTCTTAAGTAAGTAAACTTCAATATCTTCAGTAAGCATCAACAAAACAAATGGTAGTTCATTTGCAGGTTTTTGATTCGTTCACTATAGCCCATCAAAAGTCCGCAACTGAACACAAGCCTTTCCCATAGATTGTTGCATAGGGTATATTTGCCATAGCATGGCAGGTGAGATGGCAACCACAGTTTTTTTGAGTTATCAGGAAGGTGCTGCATCCATCTTCTATTTCAGATTTCCTCTATCGCCTTTTAAGATACCCTCGGGATATATTTTTGCATGTAATAAATGCAATGTGTTAGCATCACAGTGTTTGAACAGGTAGCGAGGTATTACGAAGAAGAAAGTTCTATGTAGCGTACTCTACTCGACATAGAGAGCGAAAGCTCTAATACTTTCACTTTAGAATTCGATTGATTACTTTATGATCCATTGGGGCTTGTACTATTAGCAGGAGAGCTGGTAAACATTTTCGGGTAGGTATTTGAAGCACTCTGAAAACTTGCCCAGTAGTTCTCTTATAATATATATATATATATACTCAAACATAGAACCGCAGACCTGTCTGAGAAGTAGCATGGCTAAATCAATCCTTATATTTTTAAAGATTCGAATTTTTTTTTTCAAATAATATCCTTGGAGCATTTCAAAACTTTTGTACCCTTAAATTTAATATTTGAAGAGAGAAAGAATAAATAAGCCAGATTATATACAATACAACTTTTTGAAAATTAAATAGTGTAATTTTACTGAAATTCATTATAAAAGACAATATCAATTAGCTGAGATCCCATTATAAATTATATTTTAATTAAACGCTGACACATGATGTTATAACAGATGCTAGAAATCTGTGCATCATTACTCTTCAGATTACTTTAGTCACTAAGTAAGTTATATTAACAGGATAATACTAAGCATAACAATATTTCCACTCAAGGACGAACAACTTCTATGAAGGTAAGCTTGTTTCCACAAAGAATGTAAGGTACCGTGAAAACTGGCAAATTTACCATTTTTGGAAGGACCCTTTTTACTGGAAAAGAGGCATTCCATCTTAGTCCTCACGACTGACAACGCATCTGCATTTTAATTCGCAAACGAAGGGTCTATGGACCACAGCAACCACTTATCATCAGGTGGACTGTGTGCTCGTTTATCACCCTTATTCTATAAAAAAATTATTAAATACATATAAGTACTTTATGTTGATCTTTTCATAGTGTTTAAAATCATAAATGAGGGATATACGTTTAAAAATAGCCTTTATACGCGAACTGACAATTCAGAAGGCAATTTTAGGCTACATTACAGATAAAAAATTAGGCGAATTTAGGCTACTTTTTTTTAAATTTTAGTGACTCGGAACGGTCTAGACTTGACAACACTGCTCCCATTTTGCATGCCTTAAGCACGAACCGCGCAGGTATGTTCTGCTAGCTTTTTTTTGTACGTGATAGAGCCATGCTGCAGCTATATTAGTAGTATAGTTGTAGCACGAACGGGTCGGCTCGACCGGGGAAAGACCACGCTCTCACACAAACCAGCGTAAAATAGCAGCTTGAGTCGTGCACTTTTGGATTTTCAAACTTTTTTTTAAATTGTAGTTTAACATAAAATTATTGGAAAGTTGGAAGTATAAGGTTATTGGAGAAACTTTTGTGTATTTAAACTACTTAAAAAAATCCATATAATCTTGTTATACGTAATTTTTTTAATGTGCTCAGGGCATGCACAATTGGATTTACCAATAGTTTAAATGTCTCTTTCCACATGGTTGTCGTCTTATATATTTTAGAATCAGTTCGCTTATAGGCATGAAGAGCGCGACGCGTACTCATTATCAGTAGTTCTAGCCTTTATAATTTGTAAACTTACCAAAAATATTTTTAAATTTTTCATACAATGTTGAATATGTGTCAGGGTTGTCAAAAATCCTTGATTTATTTAAGTCACAATAATTTTTTAAGAATGAATCTAAAAAAAATTGGTAAATCCAATTAGGCATGTCTTAAGCGCATTACAAAATTACGTATAACATGATTAAACGGAATTTTTAAAAGTAGTTTAAATACATTTCGACAGCACTATCGGCCTCCTAATCCTCGAAAACCATGAAAATGTCACCCATGATGAAAAAATTGGTACCTGCTTCAGCCGCCATCTTGGATTTACATTTCGACAGCACTATCGGCCTCAACACCCTCCAAACCCATGAAAATGACACCCATGATGAAAAAATTGATACCTATTGCAGCCGCCATCTTGGATTTACATTTCGACAACTCTATCGGTTTAAACTCTCTCGAAAACCATGGAAATGATACCCATGATGAAAAAATTGATATCTATTGGGGCCGCCATCTTGGATTTACATTTCTACGGCACTACACCCTCGAAAACTATGAAAATGACACCCAAGATAAAAAATTGGTATCTATTGCAGCCACCATCTTAGATTTACATTTCGACAGCACTATCGGCTTCAACACCCGCGAAAACCATGAGAATGACACCCATGATGAAAAAATTGATATCTATTGCAGCCGCCATCTTGGATTTACATTTCGACAACTCTATCGGTTTTAACTCTCTCGAAAACCACGGAAATGACACCCATGATGAAAAAATTGATACCTATTGGGGCCGCCATCTTGGATTTACATTTCTACGGCACTACACCCTCGAAATCTATGAAAATGACACCCAAGATAAAAAATTGGTATCTATTGCAGCCGCCATCTTAGATTTACATTTCGACAGCACTATCGGCTTCAACACTCTCGAAAACCATGGAAACGACACCCATGATGAAAAAATTGGTACCTAATTCAGCCGCCATCTTGGATTTACACTTCGACAGCACTATCGGCTTCAACACCCTCGAAAACTATGAAAATGACACCCATGATGAAAAATTTATACCTATTGCAGCTGCCACCTTGAATTTACATTTTGACAGCACTATCGGCTTCAACACCCTCGAAAACCATGAAAATGACACCCATAGTGAAAAAATTGATACCTATTGCGGCGGCCATCTTGAATTTTCATTTCAACAACCTTATCGGTTTCAACAACCTCGAAAACCATGAAAATGTCACCCATTACAAAAAAAAATTGATACTACTTACTTTTAGTACGTACTACTATTATTGCTTGCCTTAAGCGAAAGCGCAAGGTATGTTCTACTATCGCCTAAAAATTAAGATTCCAACGTTTTATCGAATGAAATCGTATCTAGCAATCATATTATACATATAAATGATATAAAAAGCACATTGTTAGAAAGATAAATGATTGTTGAACTTATAAATTTTTTTTAAATTGATTAATTGCTATTTTTAAATAAAAAAGGGTTTTAGTGGCTTATGCTGTGGATTTATCAAGTCCCCATGGCTTGTAAACAAGATAACTATTGAAATTATCAATTGTTTATAATTCAATCTATTTTTTAATCTCTTCATCTATCATGTGGGAAGCCACTGAATGTAAATGGAAGTGTAATTTTGTTTTGTTTAGCTATAATTTTTCGGCTCCAAAATGGAGAAATTTTCGTTGATTTGGCAGCCTTGTATGTAAATTATTTCTGTAAATAGGCGGAAGCCGCCGTCGTGAGTGGACTTTGTTTCGGTTGTTTGCAGCGGCTCGAAAAGATAGCTGTACAAATACACAATATTCGAATAACCAAATTTCTTAAATACTTGATTATAATAATAATGAGAGATTTTTTTTATTACAATATTTTAAAAGCACAGAATAAATAATAGTAGAACGAGAACGTACTAAAAGTAAGTAGTATCAATTTTTTTGTCATGGATGACATTTTCATGGTTTTCGAAGGTGTTGAAACCGAGAGTGCTGTCGAAATGTAAATCAAAGGTGGCGGCTACAATAGGTATAATTTTTTTTTATCATGGGTATCATTTTCATGGTTTTCGAGGGTGTTGAAGCCGATAGTGCTGTCGAAATGTAAAACCAAGATGGCGGCTGCAATAAATATCAATTTTTCCATCTTGGGTGTCATTTTCATGATTTTCGAGGGTGTTGAAGCCGATAGTGCTGTCGAAATATAAATCCAAGATGGCAGCTGCAATAGATATCAATTTTTTCATCTTGGGTGTCATTTTCATGGTTTTGGAGGGTGTTGAAGCCGATAGTGCTGTCCAAATGTAAATCCAAGGTGGCGGCTGCAATAGGTATCAAGTTTTTCATCATGGGTGTCATTTTCATGGGTTTAGAGGGTGTTGAAGCCGATAGTGCTGTCGAAATGTAAAACCAAGATGGCGGCTGCAATAAATATCAATTTTTCCATCTTGGGTGTCATTTTCATGGTTTTCGAGGGTGTTGAAGCTGATAGGGTTGTCGAAATGTAAATCCAAGATGGCGGCTGCAATAGATATTAATTTTTTCATCACGGGTGTCATTTTCATGGTTTTCGAGGGTGTTGAAGCTGATAGGGTTGTCGAAATGTAAATCCAAGATGGCGGCTGCAATAGATATCAATTTTTTCATCACGGGTGTCATTTTCATGGTTTTCGAGGGTGCTGAAGTTGAGAGTGCTGTCGAAATGTAAATCAAAGGTGGCGGCTACAATAGGTATAATTTTTTTTATCATGGGTGTCATTTTCATGGTTTTCGAGAGAGTTGAAGCTGATAGGGTTGTCGATATGTAAATCCAAGGTGGCGGCTGCAATAGGTATCATTTTTTTCATCATGGTGTCATTTTCATTGGTTTCGAGGGTGTTGAAGCCGATAGTACTGTCGAAATTTATTTAAACTACTTTTAAAAATTCCGTACATTCATTTTATACGTAATTTTTTTAATGCGATTAGGGCATGCCTAATTGGATTTACCAATATATTTAATTATTTAATTTGTTAATAACTGAAGGCAAAATATACTACTTTTTCCATTTGATGATAGATGGCGCTGTTTTGTTAACTAAATCGGTGTAGTTTCAAATTATTTTGCCAAGGTTATAACTTATTGTATAATGTTATTCAATTAAACTCGGACATTAAGTTTTAATAGCAACAACATTTAAATAATATTTTTCTTGTTGAACAGAAAACGTGTACATGATAAATATTTTCATTGAAAAACAGTGTCGAAAATGGGGATGACAGTATACTGGACTTCCTTCCGTTTTAAACAGTAACCAATTTAACAAACTTAAATGGAACGGCATCACAGTATACTGAATTGACGTCACACCTTACGGTGGTCACAGTGTATATCGGACCATAGCCATAGATATTGCATCTATATACGATTTTAATCGCCCACTCATAGAATTCACTAGACATGATATGACAATCTTTAATTTCTAGTGAAATCGATCGTTCAAGTATTGATTCGTCATATGAAAGGGTTATTCAGGTTGATCATTTAAATGGGGCATTTCGGGTTTCAGTACTCCGTGATCTGTGAGACCCGCTCGTTTCTGTTGATTGTCGATCGTTTCTATACTTAGTTCGGTAGCGACTCGCGTCGCGATCATTTGGTTTTGATTGAACACAAATAAATACTTCATTTTACCGTTTATATATTTATTGCAAGTGTTCTAAGCTTAGTGTGTGTAAATAACTAATATTTTGAATAATATTTACCACTTAATAAATGAAATGATTATGTTTCTTATAGGAGCATCCTTAATCGACGAGCTTGTAAGTGTAGATATATGGATGTAAATTAAGCGAGAGAGGTGTGTCAGGATCATGCCAAGTCTGTAGTCTCTACCTACCCCTCTAGGTGACAGGCGAGAGTTATTATGTATGTATGTATCTCATATTATGCATGTGCTACAAAATATAAAATAATATTGCAACTGTAAATGCAAGTCGTTTTCATGATGTTCATAGGTTATAAATTAAATGTTCCGTCAATAGTTTGTTCCGGATCGTTCAAAAAATATGATTGCATTCATACATAATTTTACGTGGGTTAAATGTTCGAATCGTTCACGATTGACAAATGTCTAGTACTCACGTGTATCATGCGGTGGATGACAGGAAGATCATCGCGGCGCGCGTCCCGCACGGTCACCGGCGACATGGCCGCGTCCGCTTCACTGACGCGTGTTAATCAGTGACTACTTAGTGGTTAGTGGATACGTATATCGTTATACATTGTGAGATTATTACGTAAGCGCAACTCTATGGCTCTTAAATAGATTACCTTGCCACAATCTATAGATAACGAGCTTTTAGTTCCGACGAATCACGATAGATGGAACTGTCGTATTTAGCTATCTCCATGACCAAAATAAAATAATATACAGAGAAAGTTAATGATTTAAAAAAAACTATGACAAATATTCATGAGCAGTAAATAATTTTTCCCTTTGGTGACAGCGAAAGATTAATCTATCAATCATAAAGTTTTCTATTGATTGAAGGACAGATGGCGTTATAATCAACTTATCGCCAGACATAAAACACTCAGGCAGGCGAAGGTGTCCTAGATTAGGTATTATAATATATAAAGTATAATATTGCATGCCGAGCACAAAGCACATAGGTATTGCATGCCGAGCGCAAAGCGCATAGGTATGTTCTACTAGCGCCTAAAAATCAAGATTCCAACGTTTAAAAATCGTATCTAGCAATCATATTATACATATAAATGATATAAAAAGCATATTTTCAGAAAGATAAACGATTGTTGAACTTACTAATATTGTTTTTAAATCGATTAATTGCTATTTTTACATTAAAAAGGGGTTTTAATAGCTTATGGTGTGGATTTATCAAGTCCGCAAGGCTTGTAAACACTCTAACTTTTGAAAATATCAATTGCTTAACTCAATCTATTTTTTAATCTCTTCATCTATCACGTGGGAAGCCACTGAATGTAAATGGCAGTGTAATTTTGTTTTGTTTAGCACACTTAATTAATTTTTTCTGCTCCAAAATAGCGAAATTTTCGTTGATTTGGTAGCCTTGTGTTAGAATCTATTTCAGTAAATAGAGACTGCCTGTGCCTCACTCGCTTACGCTTAGTTCGGCGTCAACCCAAAGAGTATAGTAATATGGCGTCAACCGCCGTTGTGAGTGGATACTGTATTGGTTGTTTGCAGCGGCTCAAAAAGATCGCTATAATAAACTTTGCTATTTACAACAATATTAAAGGAGCAAATCATAACTATGAGTTTTGTGTATTAAATTATGAGATAAACTTATCTGGAACCTTAAAATTAAATCATATTATTTTCATAATAAACCCTGATGCCAAAGTTGCCACAAAGTGTGGTTCACTTAGCGGCTCAAAAAGATCGCTGTAGAAATAAATACAAAATATTAAAAAAACAAATTTCATACATACTTGATCATTATAATAATCAGAGATTTTTATTACAATATTTTAAAAGCACAGAATAAATAATAGGAGCACCTACTTTACCTACTACGTTACCCCGCACAAGAATATTCTCCTGTATAGTGGAATACAAACACAAATTTCTCAAGGATAATCATCCAGACCCGGAACAATTATTTGTAGGCTATACAAATACTTTTCCGTGCGGCATTTGAATAAGCGGCCCTCAGCGCTGCAACTCAATGCTGTCACTATGCCGCGGAGCTTACGGAGGAGTATGCTTACGGAGTGTGACTTGGTAAAAATGAGCGCCTTATCGCTTATCGGATTCAAATGAACTGTTAACAAGTCAAGTGCTGATTTATTACACTGCAGGCGATTTTATTGTTAGGCATTCTTTTTTCAATGAAGAAATCTAGTAGAAATAAAACAAATTTTCATTTTCAAATGTTTTATTGTTTAAAATGTTTTGAGAGGTGCCACTTTAATGTGTCAATTTCGTTGCGAGTTCTTAAAAATATAACAATGTGACTGTTTGGTTTTTCTACAATTAAATTAATTCCTTAAATGATGAACACTAAAACCTATCTGCAAAAGTTCCATTTTTTTGCTAGAATTATAAAGTCTTAAGTACCTGTACCTAATTTAACTTAAATACCTGAGTACATACAGACATACAGCTGTAGAGGCTACAGACTGATTAAACTCGGGCTACTTTCAGCTTTTAAATATAAATGTTTGGTTCGATGTACATAGAACGAACTCATAGTAGATATACTCACAATAGTCTTGCAGTGGTATGCTCGGATTTCGATTAATTTTATTATTTATGAGATCCGAAGCACCACGCAACCTTCTCTATTTTTGGGATGTTTTTTTTTTAAATTTCTATAGCCTCGCGAATCATCCTTGATAGGGGTCGGTGCAGGCACTTTTGTGAGGAATTATGCTTTATCACTGGCATAACGGCCATTTTCTCTCTAAAATATTTAATAATTCCAACATTTTTAATAACCAAAGCGGTAATGGTTATAAAGGAATTAAATGTAAGCCCAACAATTGCAGAAGCAAGCAGCTACAAAACATATATTATATTGCTTAAACGTAGGTACCTACATACGATTAAGCGATTATAATCTAGACTGCATAGAGTTGCTATTTGTTTTGATCAGGAGTGAACATGTCCCGGCGCGGGGGCCTTTACTGCCGCTTTTTTGTTTTATTCGAGTTTCTGTAAATGTTTTACTATACTTACAGGTTTTTCGTTATAAAAATAGATTTTGACTATAACATTTATCTAGGCACAAGAATCTGCTTCTGTTCGGTGGCGTAGCAAGGGGCCCAGGGAGCCATGGCTCCCTCCCTCCCTGCTTCCTTCAAGCGTAACAATAAAACCAGGGAAAAAAATTAAATAAAAACTTATTCGTTGCACCCATATCCATTTCAGGGTGCTAGCTGTCTCACCGTGGACAAATAAACCGTTATAACAGGAAATATAGAACATGGTTTTTGGATGTGCCTACATAGTTAGTTGCCTTACTCCTCCGTAGTATAATTATGTAATCACATTTATTTGCATCTGTACTTTATATTGTGCTTACTTGAAACCTATCTTAGTACTAATTGATTATTACTAGAACATATTGTTCTGGTTTATCTGGTATATTATATAAAACGTTTTTCATTCAAATTGGGTCAAAAACGCATTTTTAATATTATATTTAAATATGATACTATGATCACAGATTAGTAAATGTTATTCTTTCATAAACAATGTTAATATTGGCCTTACCTTAGTCTGTTACATATAAACAAAACATAGCTTTAATATACTTATAATTTTAAATTACCATTATAAATTAATTTAGCGCCATCTACACTAAAGATCCAGTACTAATATAAATAATTACAGACGTGAATAGATGACGATGTAGAGAGTACTCTATATTGTTTTGTGCATAAGGGCTAATAATCTGACGTTCAACAGATGTCGCTAGTTGTGTTGATTTTATTCGTCACGCAGATGCTGTCATAGACATAAATACTGGAGAGAGATACTGTGTTCTATAATTTGTACATTGTAGCAGAAAAAGTTGTGGATGCCGTCATTGCTGCATTTCTATAATTTTTATATTTTAGAATTCAATAAATTTTGGGTAATATTAAAATAATATCTACAGTTATTGTCTTCTTCATAAAAATCCTTATAAGAAACATAGGAATCTTAAAAATTGTTCATATTAAACATTTTCTCTTTATGGAATTTAGGATATTCAGAGACTGACTAAAAATACTATAAACTATTAAAGTTTCAATGTACTATACAGAAATGTACTCTGTTCTCAACAAAAGGAGGGGTTTCTCCTGTTGTAGTATGAAAGATTTCCGCCTTGAAATGAGTTGACGGATTCCATTACGCCACTGCCATACGGTTATAATGATGATATCGCTGAAAGAAGAGTATAGTAATAATCTAGTCTATTTCTAAGAGAGTTTTAGCGCAAGAGAGAGTCTGCTGCACAGCCCAATAACTGTTGGCAGGCTTGATATGTCCACTAATATATACATATTGCCCCATGATGTTTTTCCTTACCGCTGAGTACAAATAAGCATTTAATTTTTGTATAAAATTGAAGTGGCAGAAGAATTTACAGTCAGGTAAGTGCAACTGCAGTCCATGGCACTTGCAGTGCAGCTAACTTCAAACTAAGAAGGTTACAGATGCGCTGTCAGTTGTTACCTTTGAGGACTGAGATGGAATGTCTCACAGCCTGAAATTGTACCAACACTCTACAGAATTCAGACATGAACGCTTTAGTCTTAGCACCGATGGATTAGCCTTAACTAGGTCTGAGGCCATCAGTCCACCTGAACCTGATTATTTATAAATGATTAGGCACTGCAGTCCGAGGATTACGAGTAAGATGAATGCAATAGAGGAAACAAAAATTTAAGCTCAAATGTGACAGTTTGTAACACCTTTTTTTTAAATTGTTGTTATGTACAGAGGTTTGTCGACATGAAAACACACGCGCACAGTAAGAACCTCCGAGTAAGTGCAAGCATATTATGTAGGTATGTTCTTGCTCTACGACGCACACATAGGCTCGCACACACAAACCAGCATTAACTCTGCAGGAGACTACGTCGCCTTTCAAGAGACTTAGAAATTTCGTTAAGTGGCATGCGCATTATCTTATCTTAGTGCGTTAATTGCTTCTGGTTAAACGTACGTAAAACAAAATGTCCAGTAGCAAATTACCCCGTTCGACCAATTATAATTTACGGTAAGTAACAAGAGTGAGCAGCTAATGGCAGCCTTGATTGATGTTGATAGTCGTAAGTTGGAATACAATAAAGTTGCTCTATACAGGTTTGATACGAGTGTGTGTATTACTCTGTGGGTGTCGTTGTATGTGTATTACTCTGGGAGTTTTGGCGGGAACTTGTCCGGCGGCGGTTTGCTGCTCCTGTATTATTGTTTAAATAATGGTTTGAAGTGGACTTTGATATGTAAAAGTGGTAAAAGCGATTTTTTGTATTAAGTGTCTGCGCATGTGAACTATTAGTGTAAACTGTGAAACAAGTGCTCTGATGGTGATGTGATTCTCAAAATAAGGTGTCTGTCTGCTTAGGTGCCTTGAGATGCCATCGCCAACCGTCAGCTGTCTGCTGGCTCAAGTTGCCATCAAAATCTCCCAAGGGCTGCACAATATGACGCATCAACATATTGTTAA